GAGACACACCTTGCTGCACCTGAAACCCAAGCATTCACCTTGTTTAGTTAGTTTACTTGCTACGTGAAACCGTGCTCGCGCGTCGTCCAATTGCACCAAATACAAGCACTGCACTTCCGCGAGTCCCCAGAAATAATACCCGCCAAGTGTGAAGTCGATCGGATAAAGGGTAATTTATTTCAACCCTTCCGTCACATATGCACTGAATTTTACCTGACGAAACCCCAACCCAAGCATAATACTGCCCATACCATACTCCGTCTCCCTCCCCCAACCGAGTTATTTTCAGCTGCCTCGGCAGATGGTCAAAGGGCTTTTCACCCACACGCTGTCCCCCATTATGTTGTACTGTTTGTACTTGCCATAGTCCTTTATAAGAACTAGAAACATTGGATGTCAGTAGGACGTACAATGTCTCTCCTCGTCTTTTTTCCTCTGTGCTGTAGAGTATTCTATTTAAGCAAGGGCAGGACTGTGTGTCCGGACTGCTGCTCACTGAGAGATTAATACAGAGAAACACTTACAATAAGGTGCTGTAGGTAATGTTTTTATTAGTGTAGAATCCCCTGAAAATAATAATTGTTGTTGTTTTCATTACAGCAGAATGAGCTCTAGCTCACCACTACATGCCAATAATACCACACTGGACCTTTAATCCCTTGTTAAGCATTATTGCTTTGATTGTATGGTATAGTCCTCTGGTGCTGTCATCAAAACCCCATTTCAGCCAGCATTACAACTGTAGCTTAATAAACCACAATACACTACCTGATCAGCCTAGACACAACGTTAGCCTACGAGTGAAGTAAAAAGATCCCAGTACTTTTTCTCACAAAGTTGGTGGGACGAAACCAGAGTAAAATGAGGGGTGCATTCATCAGGTGGCACATCACACCCTCTGGGAAAAAAAGAAAAAAAAAAAAAAAAAAAAGAAAAAAAAAAAAAAAAAAAAAAAAAAAAAAAAAAAAAAAAAAAAATATAAGATTGATAGCTGTGCTTGCTGGGTGTGTAAGTAGGCACGACTGTTTGCTAATGCGATTAAGCTGTTGGTGTCAAACTACTTGACTTTCAAAGTCGTCCGTCTCCTGTACTGCTTGTTGGTGGTTTTCCACTGCGCTTGACTATCAGGCACCGGGGGTCACACACTACAGATCTTTCACAACAGGGGGTTCTGTCTGCTCTCATTGTTTCTCCAGTGTCATTAATAGCACATTATAACAATCACATCATTTTTAATCTATAGGTAATAGTTTTTGGGCAACATTTACAGCACACTGCTGTTAAGAAACTGATAATTAGATCTGATTTGGCCCAGCACTCAGAATCCAATACAACAACATTAATTAAACCACTGATTCATACTAATAACTAACAGCAGTCCCACATCAGACAACATTATCATACCCTTACAACATTTACCTCGTGATTCCTGGAGTGGGTGACAAAAATGTTAAAAAATTATAAATAATGGCTACATGGCTCCTGAAGGCCTATGCACACCAAACCGACGGCCGACCGTCGCAGAAAAGCAGTCGGACTGATCAGTCGGACTCCCATCTCAGACTCCTCGAGTCGGTCAAAAAAAGTGCCTCCAACACACCAACCGACGGCAACGGAGCGTATGTCTGCGCGTTGCGCGAGGCGTAAATACGTCCCCCGATAAACAGTCAGGCGGCGCTAATCTGTGTTGTGCCCCAAAAAATGAAAACCCGGAAATGACTGATCACTCTAGAACTAGTAAACACAGAGCACGGCTGTCGTTCAGTCATTGTTTTCATCAGAGAGTGTTGATAGTAAACTCAACAGGATCGTTATTGTCTTACTCGCTGAACGGAAATACGATGGCTCAATATAACAAAGATACTGGCGTTGTTGATTTCGTCACTTCCGGTTTTCTCGTGCACGTCACTGATTTCGCTAGTCAAGAGGCTAGCACTCCACCATCAGATTGGTCATCTACATGTCGAATCGGCCAAAATGAACGCCGACGCCGACTGACGACGGCACGGGACACACCGAACCGACTCGAGTCACCGACCTCGCCCGACTGTCCGACGGCCGATAATCGGGTTGGTGTGCAGAGGCCTTAAGTCGTCTCTGACAAAACCAGATATTTAGCCTGCTAGATATTTTTCAGGTGTGTTGGCAATCTTGCGGGTCACGTCTTTGAACAGTTTACACAATGCAATCTTCCTCACTAATTTGCCTGTCCATTTGTCTGCAACCTCCAAAAACTGTCTGTGAGTGTAAAATCAGGGTTAAAATCATGTAGTTTGAACTCGGCATTAGTCCTAACACCTTAATCGGCCCTCCATCTGGTATTAAGAGGATTAGTATCTGGATACGTTATCTGCATAATGACCAGAACTAGCAGATCTGTCAGCAAATACAGTGCGTATAAGGTCAACAGAGGTGAGCCGTGATACTCTTTGCGACATAGAAAGTGAAAAGGCTTCCATAGGCTACTTTCCAGAAGCCGTGCTAACTAGTCTAAGGCCATAGCCGCATTTCAATTGCAAAGCATTCTGGGTGCATTTATACCTGCATTAACATGTTTTTCCTGATGCACATCAGATATTAAGAGAAAGATCACATGATGTGTGTCCATGTTTTCCAAACCCACCACACTTAAAACCAGAGAAAATTGAAAGGGGCCTTCATCCTTATCTATCACAGTTAGTAACTAACAGATAAGTCCTTGGTGTACACAGCAACATATGGACACTTTCTCCATTTCTCTGTCAGTTTTAAATATTGCAGGGAGGAAGGTTCAAACAAGAAGCAGCCACAGTGAGCTGTTAGATAAGGTGCAAGAGGGTACAGTCAGAACCACAGGTGACGTGACACCCGGGAACTTTTTACCACACACATTCATTACAAAATCAGATGTAAACCTACAAAAATTTACAGAGTGGGCATGCAAACATTTTTTTAATCTTTTGAACCACTTGGGTCCAATACTGTTAAAAGCCAGCAACAGTTCTGTCAAAGACTAAACCCTGCTAAAGAATCTGGAATTGTGACAACCGTATTGCTAGCTCTAGATGCTAGCACAGGGCTTTCTGCTTGTTGATGGGTTTAGTAATTCCGAACATGGAGGACTCTCTGGAGAACAAAAAGCAAGAAATGTATTGATCAAAATACACACATTTCCAAAAAGGCTGGAGTAGTAGTTTGTTGGCTAACTTGTGAAAAACCACTATGCTTTAGCTTAAGTCTAAAAAAGTTCAGTTAATAATATGTTGGTTCTGCTTTGAAATAGAGCCCAACAGATATTGGCATATATGTTATCCGATATGAAAACTGTTTTTCTTCAGTATAAATGCTTTATATTTAATATAATATATTGGTCACTCCAAAGTTTCTCCAGCAGAGTGCACTGTGATTTACAATACTGTAGCGAGAAGCAAAGAGTAAGAGAGAAGAAGCTGCTCTTTGTAATTTCAGCTAGAATTGGTTGACAGTTTACATATGTTGAATTATTTAACATGTTAAAGAATATTTCACTTAAATATTCTGTAATAACATATTTGTTCAAGAAAGCAGCCTCCTGAGTACCTTTGCAGAGTCATATTAGTGCACAATCCCCATAGAAAAGGTCCATTTTCAATCCATTAGGGGTACACCGATATATTGGGTGATATTCACCTTGTTGACTGGCATTCACCGGTGTCAGTGACCGATGGTTATTTGTCGTGTTGCATCAATTTTGCGCTGGCTAAATGCTGTGTTGGTTATTTCCCACTCAGATTATGCAGTGAGCAGCCTTTTAGCTCTGTGTCTCAGTATCTTTCTTACAAATCCCATATCGGTTGGGCTCTACTTTGAAAAATGTGCAGAGCGATTAACTGACAAAGCTAAGTGGAGCAGATGGTGTGCTGGCCTTTTTTAGTTTTTTTTTACTAAGCTGCAGTAATATCAGTGTTTAGAATATTACCAAACTAACAAGTAAGTATCGGCCGGCGTGCAATGTAGGGCTGCACAATATGGTAAAAAAAAGTTGTATTGCCATTATTTTGGCAGATATTGCGATTGCGATATTGATCACAATTAGTGGGAATGATCATTTTTGCCTCACACTTTTTATTTTCACTGAAATGCATAATAAAATCATGATGATGTGACATCTGTTCTGTAGTACCAAAGAAACACATTTTCTTAAATCTGTAGAACAAGATTTGTAGGCCAGGGCATCAGAGCTAATGATAATGCTGCTGTCACACATTTTACCCTTTGGCCATATTGCACTTTTGATAATATTTCAATTAACTGTGCAGTCCTAGAGCGATGTTCAGGTAAAGGTATCAGGAAGGAAAAATGGTATCAGAACATCTCTAATAAACTAATAATCAATTGTATATTAGGATATAATAGATAATATGTTTTCCAGCAATAGGTAATACTTCTATTACTGCTCATTTAACCCTGTTGCAATTAAAGCTGCAGTAGGTAATTGTTTTGTCATATTTGTTGAAACATTCACTATACCCTGACACTAGTACATGAAACAGATTCCTTTGGCTCCTCCTTGTGCTCCTAATGGTATTTGCAAGAATCCACCGGGCATGAACACAAAAAAACCCGGAAAAAGTCGAGAAAGATAGAAAGACGCTTTGGGTTGGTGGCTTGAAGATGGTTGATTGTTGAGTCTCACTCCCAGTTGGTTTTTGATGACCTGGGAATGAGCTTCCACAATAAACTGTCTTTCACAGCTCTGATTGGTTGTTTTCGCCCAGGCCTGGATTCTTGCAATTGTCATTAGGAAGACTAGGATGGGAGCCAAGAAGGAACCTGGTGCTTTATTTCCAATTATACTATGATCCTACTCGCTAGCTAATGTACAGACTGATATAGTGAAGGTTTCAGCAAATGTAACAACAAGTTATCTGTATAAAAGTGACCTACTGCAGCTTTAACTTCAGTAAAGCCTTTCACACTCACTGTGAAAATTCATATTCAGAGTGAATGAACATGTATGTGTAAGTGTGTCCTTCTCCAACCTTTAATCTTGACAGTGGGTGAGTTGGGTCCAGCGGACTGCTTCCTCCACCCCCTCCAGTTTTGACAGAGGCTCTCGGCCTCTGAGATAAAGGAGCACAGAGAGTCTTCCTCGAACCGGTCCGAGTCTTCGAAGGAGAACCTCTCCCCATCCTCCCACTCGGCGAACATCAGTTCCATTACATCCACTTCTTAACTGCTTCGGAGTCCAGAGGACTGCGACGTGAGGCCACGGCCTTTTTCTTTAGGCTAAAAAAAAAAAAAAAATCAAGGGGAAACCCGGCGAACAGTGTCCAACACTCGGGGAGAATCAAGAGCCTCCAGAAGACTGGGGGGAGGGGAGGCCACTAGCAACCAAAACACAGCTGAGAGGCTTACCGCTGGGCCCTCAAACACAGCTACATAATACAAACTCTGACATGGCGGTGGTCTCCTTCAAATAGTCTGGAAGAATATGCAGACAAGAAAACTACAATTAAAAAGTGTTTACACGCAACTTCTGATATGTTTTACCGGTGTTTTCTCCTACTATATACAACCCAAACTACTAGTCATTTAGGTCTATTTATCAGTCCACTCCATGCCGCCTGGCTGAGCTGTGGCTCCCCTTACAGCATATTACTGTGAACAGAAGGTCCTGTCGCCTGTTTGACTGTACTACTGCCGACTGCTGCCGCTGAGAGGACAAACCAGCCAAACACACCAGCTAAGAGTAGTTTATAAACACACAGCGACTCAAAACTGAAAAATTACACCCACCATACAACCAAAATAAACTACACAGTCGTGCCACCACGCTGGCTAGGGGCAGCGATGCGATTAAATCTTTAAGAAGTCATTAAGTTGTTTTCCTTCACCCCGTCGTCCTACCCTTTTCAGCCAATCAACTGGACCACACTGGGTGTCTAAAGTGTAGCATTAATGTACCAATCCACGAAGAGTTTAATATGTGACAGCAGAATATTTCACACGACGTCAAACACACACGTACTACTGCCAAATATCGTCTTTGTTCTACATTTAGTGTGCTAGTTTGATGTTATTGTGCTGGGCTGCTAATAATGCGAATAACATTTAGCCGACGTTAGCTTGAGAGGCTAATTATGCTAATAAATGCATACTGAGACGATACAGGCAGCTGTCATCGGCTGCAGACGACTATATTGAGGTTAAATTTGGTTTTGAACGCGACGACAGGCTTGTTCACTTGGGTTTACCTTCGCTCGGACACAGCTACCGTACGTTAGCTGTGTGCACTAGCGGTGGAAAGCTAACCCCCAATCGGCTAACTTCAACTAGCTTGAATAGCTGTTTGTTTACATGTACCGGTGATGCTGTACACCTGCCGCACTGGAACGACTACATGCTGATTTATACCGCATATCTTCTGGACTTTAGCTGTTTCCTAGGTTACATACGGTTCATATTTCGATATTAATCCCCGCTCTTAGCTCACTGTTTTCCGTTCTTTGTATTAGAGCCTTCTGCCTGGCGTTAAAAGATTCCTCAGTCAGCTCTGGTGCAGAAATTCCGATCGGTCCTTCAGATATCTTTCCTCCCGACTGACACCGGTTGCCCCGGCGTCTTACAATCGTCTCTGCCACCAAATGACACCGGGATCCCCAGAATGTTTCCCGTATCCCTCTCGTCCAGGCTCTATCAGAGTGTATCAGTCTGCCGGGGGAAGATGGCTCACCTCTCCTACAGCACCTCCTCCTCCATCAGCTGATCACAGCTTCCGGCTGCCAGCTCCACACAGGCAGCGGCTCAGATCAGCCCTGCTGGGGAAGAATGCAGCCAGGCAGGGTGGCAACAAACCCAATGTCTATGGAAGCCAATTTCCGTCAATGTAACGAAAAAAGAAAAAACAAAGATTCTGTAAGTCATTATAATGAGAAACTTTATCAAAATGTTGACTTAGCATCTCAAAATAATGAGGGAGTATGTCAAAATATTGAGAAACGTTCTCATTATTTGGTTTCTAACCTTTTTCCTTAAGAGACCCTTTTTCTATCACTGAGTAAAGTATCGACCCTTGACTGTGACATATTTGATGGACATTTCATATTATATTTAATGCATACAAATAAAGATATGGAACAACTCATAAACTGTACAATGAACCAAAATACTGAAAGAGGTTTGTCTAAAGGTGAATATTTAATCAGAAATTACTTTTCTTGATGATTTTTGGGAGGTTTTTATACAGTTCTCTGTTTGTATATATTTTTTAACAATCATAAATACTTAATCGGCTTCTTTCTTTCAAATTCTGTGTTTATTCTTTTTTCTGACGCATGGACATTTTTCTGTTAGCGCTTTGGTTTTAACTGCAAACTTTTCTAATGTACCTCTTAAAATCAAGAAGGCCTCACAACCCGAACATAAGCTTTGGCGACCCCTAGTGGGGACCCCTGACCTGCAGGTTGGAAACCAGTGCATTCAAGTATAATGCTGTGACTGCTTTAACTATAGACTCTACATAAATCTTTATATAAGTCTATGGTTCAAACCGATGGCTGTTCTACAGTACAGAAGAAAAAATAACCTTCTGGCTTCATTTCTTACTTTTGAATTAACCAAAATTCTCCTAGTGAGTTTATGGGCCATAGTTATCTGTGAGCAGCAGTGTTGGGCTAGTTACTACTAAAAAAAATGAATGTATCACTCATTACTCTTTTGACATTTTTTTAATTATTACCTTGCTTATTATTCCCTGCAACAGTAATTAGTTACACTAGTTATAAAATTGGTAATTGTGCCCCTTAACATGGCTAAACAAACCTATGGCTGGATGTTACCTTCCAGAACTTGTATTTGACTATTTGACTACATGCATTAGTATTGCATTAGTTTATTCTTATTATGGATGTATTCAAATGTAAGCAGCATTTTTATGTAGCTGGTTGACGTGAAGCTAATTCTAACTATTTTATCAACAGGGTAGTTAAAGGACATTTTCTCACTGTGCTTTTTGTGTTTTTATTTGTTTTATTGAACACCATTTTTATTCGTAGTACATAGGAGAAAAACAGGTTAAAGGTCCAGTGTGTAGAATTTAGATAAGATAAAGATAAAGTCTTTTTATTGTCATTTTCACAGTATATACAGCATTTTACATACATGAAATGAAACTTGTCCTATGCATTTGACCCATCCTATATACATTACTATATTATTACTATATATATTAGGGGGAGCAGTTAGGGGTTAGGTACCTTGTTCAAGGGCACCTCGGGCTGTGAAGTGTATAGGAGAAACTGCATTGGTCGCAAAATGTCAAAGAGCCATGTTTTGTCAAACTGGTCCCATTATATACAACTTTTAAACTGTTCCTTACCAAGAGGGCTTCCTCTTCCCCTTTTGCTGCAGATTTATTCTCCACAACATCAGGAGGATCCTCACCTGGGTGCAGATTCTGGTTCTTCAAGACACTGGTACCTGCTTGCTGTGCTACAAATGGCTCAGACAAATCTTTCTGACAGAAGGAAATTGTGTTTTGCATGACCCTTTTTTATTTTCTAGACATGTTTATATTCATTAAAGCAGCCATATTATTTTCAAAACCAAGAGGTATACATTTTAGTCAAAGAAAACCTTATTGTATTGAACCAGAGAGCAACACACAAGCCAAGAGGCCACAGTTATATTTCTGTACAGGATCTGGGAAGTTTGTTGATAAATGTTTTCTGTCTCAGTGAGAAACAGAGAAGATGTTCTTACCAAGATCTTATTTGGCCAAATCCTCCTTTCTGCTGAAGTTTACTGTGACAAAGAAAGCATTATTATAAGTAAAGGGCAGAGTTTATTTTCTTAAAAGCATCTTTATCATTGTCTGTATCCAAAGACGTAGGAAGGCTACAGAAAGGCAGGTGGTAGATGGTTGAAGTAATGCTGCTTTTTTTCTTCTTTTTTTTCAAGTTTCCTTGTGTAATGGTGGAATTAAGTAGATAAAAGTGTAAAGGCATACGGCCAATTGACTAGTCCATACCAAATCAAGAATGTCCTATCCCTCTGGGTGGAACTATTTTGCGAAAGTAAACTTCGGAGTTTAAAAGTTTGTGCCGTTACTGTTATTATCTTGATTCATTCATTCATACCCTTCAGATTTGTATGTACTCATCTGCAGCCCGAAGATTAAAACTATGTATAAAGTAGAAGTTTCATTGAGAGTTATTGACAAAAAAAAGAAAACGAAACAACAGTACATCCAGGACATGGTCAAACCGTAAATCACAGCCTGTCCACTACGCTCTGCATCTTTCCTGCTCTGCATGTCTTTTTTGAAAGCGTAACTTCATCAGTTCTTGCCCAACTGCTTATTTATGTTTCATGCTTTGTGTAGGACCGACTTCCAAGGCTGCCATGAGCTGCAGACCAACAAATCCTCCTATGTTGCACAAGCATGAACATACAGATATACATTTATACACCAGCATGAGTTAGTTGAGTACCTGGTTTCTCCTCCGCAACTTCTGACTCAAGAATGCCACTGGCCTCCGCTCCCCATCCATTTCCTGCAGCAGCACAGCTCCCAGGCCTAACGTTACTCCTGATGTGTCTGTGTGCAGGGTAAATGGCTTGGAGAAGTCAGGGCTATGCAGGACTGCAATCAATCGCCTATACCAACCCCAAGAAAGATAATCATATTCTTAGTTGTGGGCACAAGTAATTCCTGCATGACCTGCACCTTCCCCACTTGTGGCCTAATGATTCCACTTCCAAACCTTAACTGGTAATCATAGTAAGACCTGCTGCTTTGATGAGCTGGAGAACCTGACGGGCGACTGCCACATGGCCATCCTCCCAAGAGTTTCTGAAGATGCCCTTGTCATCTATATGTGCTCTGAGACCTCCCTTAATTGGACATGGTCCATCGGCTGTTAAAAAGTGTCTGGAGCTCTGTGTAGGCCAAAAGGCATCACTGTCACTGCCAATGCATATACTTGGACCTTGATGTAGAAATCAAAATGGAAACTGCATTCATCTCTCATGTGGTGAATATTGAATTACCTCCAGTTTCTGCTTTAGTGCTCGCAGCAGTCTCTCTGGGAAGGTCTTGTGCTGAGCTGGGCTGTCCTCTTTCAGGTAAATTTTGTGCTTTTATTTAGCCAGGTTTCTCTCGGAACAGCTCTGGGTAGGCAGTGTTCGGCTCTTGTGTGGATATTTATTGAAACACTGTGTGCAGCAGAGTGACAAAACAATAGCCAACCCCCTTTATATCCTTTCACTGGCAAATTAGGATGGACTGAACCGTAGTGTTCACTGTAAACACTATTTTGCTAAATCAATATTTACTTATATAATTTGCCTGGTAAAACAATATCTGTATATGTGACTTCTAGAAAACACAAATTACATAAAAGACACAAACACAGGGGTGCCTGGTAGCTCACCTGTCAGAAATAGTGCCCCATGTGCCTTGCTGCAGCAGTCATTATCTGCCTTTTCAGCTGTCATTATCAATTAAAGGCAATAACAGCAAAAAACCTGTACAAATGTCAACTTTTAACATGAATTTATTACATCCACAACAAGAAAGTACGATCTTCAGGAACATAAATTGCTATTTAACAGCTGAAAAAGTGTCCTACTCCTCTTTTGGTTTTCACTGTTATGCAACAATTAACCACTGAGACCTATTTTTGTTAAAAAGAGAAAGTGAGGGGAAGGTGAGACAGAATTAATGCTGTGGAAATGTACTTTTTTACTGAAATCAAAACATGAGCCAATGTAGGACAGTTGTTTTTTCCATCTTTATACAGCATGGGTCACAAAGTAGGCCTATATGGGAATCTGTGAGATTGTGGTTAATGTAATAATTTGTTTTGAGACATTTATCTGAATGATATCTGCATAATGAAAAAGGCCAGTGAGACTAGCCAGCTAGTCTCTGTTAGGTGTCTTTGGGTTCAATACTGGTGTCCTGTGGCTAAGATACATTATCTGAAATGTCCCAGCAGCATCGTTTCTTTCAGCAGTTAGTAGTGGAATGTGACCATGTTCAAATCAACACTGCTTCAATAAATACAGCTCAACAAAGTCAACATTGATGGTTTTTTTCAAAATAAATTAAAGCAATACAAAAATTAAAATGACCTATACATAACAGAACATAGTATATCTTCTTGTATACACAACAGTTGTACACACAAATTGTGTGTAGTATTCCAAAAATAAATACAACTTATTTTTGGATTATCTACCGTGTAATCACTATATCAACACAGGGCCCCAAGACAGCGCCTCAAGATCAGCCGCCAGGGGACGTATTACAGAAACGTTCTATCTTAAAGCTGCAGTAGGTAACTTTCATAATAATAACTTTTTGTTATATTTGCTGAAACTTTCACTATAACCTTACAGTAGAACATAAGGCAGATAATCTGTGAAAAAATCAGGTTCCTCTGGCTACTCCTAGTGTTCCTAATGACATTTGCAAGAATCCACTGCAGCTGAACGAAAACAACCAATCAGAGCCAAAAAAGATAGTTGATTGTTGAGTTTCATTCCCAGGGTGTTTGGGAATGAGATTCAGCAATCAACTATCTTCAATCTCCAACCCAAAGCGTCTTTATATCTTTCTTAGCTCTGATTGGTTGTTTTTGTTCAGGCCCGGTGGATTCTTGGGAAAACTATTATTAGAACTAGGAGAAGCCAGAGGAACCTGATTTTCTTAGCGATTATCTGTCTCATGTACTACAGTCAGAACGCATTGGAAATATCAGCAATAATGACAAAAAGTTATTTTTATAACTTACTTACTGCAGCTTTAAGATAGGATCTGCAAGTTAGAGTTTCTGTAATATGACCCCAAGACCTTTATGATGTCAGTTGATAATATACATATTCCCATACCCCCCAAAACACAGTTACAGTTAATCATTACCACAAACCAATTATCATAAACAGTAAACCTGAGGCTTTTGCAGGTTCCTGGGCCCCAGGGCAGTTGCCTGTTTTGCCAGATTGATAATTCTGGCTATAGGCCTCTGTGTAGACAGCCTGCCAATAGACATGCACTTTTCTGTATTATGGTTGAGAGTAATTGTTATTTTTAGGCCTGTAATTAGTAACATTTCAGCAGAAATATTGTAACAATGATTAGAATAATAATGAATAATGGTTTGACCTGTGGTTTTGCTTCAGAGATGGAATGTCAATAAAACAAATAAAATGTCTGCATTAACAAATTCAGTGTCATAGGACAGAAGGTATTTTACCCATTACTGTCGTTCTTTCACTGGCTTCGGCCTGCATGAGATCCTCATTTACAGGTGACCCCAATGTGATTGTCAGCCATGCATTTTAGTGCAATGTCATTCATTGTGTACCTAGTAGAAGTCTTCATGAGTCCCCTTGTTTCCTTGTAGCCGAATCCAAATTTGATTGCACAGGTCTCAGGTGTGTCAGTATGTTTCTCTATTCCCGTCTGTTTGGATAGGTACTATTCTCCATCCAGAGCAGTACTCATCAATAAATCAAAATGTATTCATGCACAGTGGGTACTGGCAGGTTTTTCCCCTGACCTGTATTTCCTAGCCATGATCATACGCATTTCCATGGCGGACTCACAGCAGGAGATGGCTGCTTGGGATCATGGCCAGACTACAAAACAATGTCTACCTTCAAGCTGCTGCTGCTTCACACTTCAAACAGCTTTCCACAGGCAAGCCACTGGCAAAGCGCTGCTAAGTCCTTGTATAATAAAAATTGGTTTACATTGCAAGATATGGAAATATTTCTTAGTGCTTCTGTGTTCAGTTTTAAATACTCTGTTGTGAGTGTGGAATGAAAGAAGATGCAGCCATTGAACTGTTTAGATGAAGACTTGCAAGATACAGGCACATATTGCAGCTCCGGCGGAGGGCAGATCTACAGCACATTATTAAAGTAAGCTACCTTTACTGCTGGCTGAGCGCTCATCACTGGGTCTCATCAAAGTATGCCACAACACTGGTGTCCCCTACTGTATGGACATTTGGCATCAGTTTACACTGTGAGAATATTATACATGTATATATAATGTCCTTTACATGCTCATTGAAGTGATGTGGGAAATGATTTTAAGAGCTGAGTGTAGGAGGCCAGGAGGCACAACACAAAAGCAATGGCCTGGAGGCTCCTACGAACACACACTTCCTGTCAGAAGCCCTGAATAACACTGGTTATCCTGCGTTACTAAGTGCTATTCTCCGTCATTAGTTCTTGTAGGGTTTGTTGATGACCTTGTCGATCCATCGCAGGAACCTGCTCACACGTGTGTACACCCCAGGGAAAGAGGGGTTACCGCAACCATGGCCCCAAGAGATTACTCCTGTCAGCACCCAACGGCCCTCCTCGCCCTGGCAAACCAGTGGACCCCCACTGTCACCCTGGCAACTGTCCACACGGTGGCGCTCTGACAGGCTCCCGGCACACAGCATGCGGCTGGTGAAACGATCACTGTATCGCTTCTTACACTTCCAGGCTGGAAGCAAGGGGACCCAGGCCTGGAGCAGAGTGCGGGAGTACTCTGAGTCTGACAGCAGGGGGAAAAAACAGGTCTTATTTACTCTTACTTACATGTGAGTACAGTATTAAAGCATTAAAGGACCAGTGTGTAAAAATAATAACATTTCATTATTAAAGAAAGGAGTAGTGCGTAGGATTTAGTGGGACTTGCCACAAATGTGAGAGGCTCTATATAATATTCAATTTCTGCCAATAGAGCCTCGTAAATGTTACACACTGGACTTTTAAGTAGAAAATAGAATAGAAATACAAATAATGAAACAAATGCCTGAAAAAAAGGTACTAAAAAATGTAATAGGATGGAGTGGTCCATGCCTAACCCTAACCCACTCTGCTTACCCTGACATTTTTACCCTAACCCATATCACTCCTCATGCCTAAACCTAACCCGCCAAACCAATGAAGGCAACGAGTACCAGTACAATCAGAGCCAGTAAGGCATGTCATGACTTTGCCACTGTGATGTACGCACTATGTACAGTAGAAGTCAAGGTACAGTGACATGAGCGTATACTACAAGGAACATGTATGCTACTAAAGATATATATGTGTGCTGATTTTTTTGCATTTTTAACAATCATACACACAACAACAATTAACAATTTACCACTGCAATAAAACATAACTGAGGTGAACGCAGTTTTGGTGTGCTATGAGCGCCACAGCTATGTGACATTTAAACAATTCATCAATACTAGAAACAGTGTCCTTGTTAGTCTGGATAATCAATACACCTTATTGTGAAGAAATTTTATTAGAACTAATTTATACTGAAGAAATAATCTCTGTGATAGCTGCTGACAGTCACTCTGTGGATTATCCAGAACAGAGGTTTTCGATCTGTGAGGCGTCAGGGGCCTTGGGAAAGTTGAAGGGGGAAAGACGTGAGACACTGTGAATGGGAAGTTAGTTAATGTTTGTCTGCTGATCAGGCTTACTTATCAACAGCCTCAGCAGTTGCAGCATCAGTGGTTGTGACATTCAGTGGATGCCAATAGGGGGCAATTTGAGCTGGGTTTCATTTGGACTGGCTCAAGTGACTCATCGTGGACCCATTGTGTGATTTGTATAGATAACAAGTGACCTGTAGCACAAAAGTCTGAGTTAACCCAGGTCGAGTTGCACCATTATGGAAACCTTCACATTGCCATTTATGAGGTTAGGTTAAGACATAGTAAAGATGGCAACAATATAGTTATAGGTAGGAGATTGGGGGAAGTCTTGATTTTGTGTCCAGAGTAATGATGACACCAAGGAATGTGCTGACATTTTGAGAAATAAGCCAAGTTTGCCAAGAGTTCAATGAAAAGATCATCTAGTACAGGGATAGGTCTGGATTGTGTTCAGCCTAGTTTCGTAGAATCCTAAAAGCAAGAGGAAACTATAGCTCTGTAAGGGGTGGTAAAAATACCTTCCAGCAAATACAAGCAGTGTCTTAAAAGTCCTGTCCTGACTTTGACACCAGCAACCGGGGTCTTACGTCCTTCATGTTGTTAGGTTTAGGTAAGTAAACCAGTAAAACGTTTAAGTTAGGAAAAGATGTAACCTTGTTATGCTCTTGTGTTTAGCCACAGTGGTTCTGATCAATCAGCATCCTATGAGGAACAACTGGCAGCTACAGCAAAAACAAATGGTCTATCCAATCACCTGCCGAGTATTTTTTTGAAAGTGCCTGCTCTT